TTCTAAACGTTGTACTTTAAGAATTGTTTTTCACACTGACTCACTACCCTAGAAGTAATTTGATTCTTAAGTGAGTTCAGGCTTTCGTAAGTACCATTTTTGAGCTGTAGTCTTACACTTCACCTCATTTCGGGAATTCGCTGTATGCTGGAAAACTCTTATCTTTATCATACGAAATTATTGGCATGTATGGGTTGTATGCTTCGAGTTCAGTGTAATGTCAATTACACGCCATTTCGAAGGATACACACTACACATTCTTTATATATGGTGCTGCCAGAACAGCATGAAAATTTTTTTATGAGAAGTCATATTTGCTCTTTTTACAGGATGTGAGGGTGCCGCTGACGTCCTGCGTAGTCTACCCTGGACCCAGCCTAGAGCAAGCCTACTTCCTGAACCTCCGCATGGATAACCGAAAAATCTTCCGTGTCAGTAATGACGAAGAAGGAAGGAGTGACAGCACTGATGAGTTGATTTTTTTTTTATTTTCAACATTGTCTACGGCCGCAAGGCCTTTAACAACCACCGTGATTGAGCGGCTTTTCCTCGGCGTGAGTTTGGAGTTTATCAAAGAAGTTGTTCAGGCAGTACGACGCTGAAAATTTTAGTGTCACAATGCCTGAACAACTTTTTCTAGTGTGGTCATGTTAGATGAACAAATATTGTTATTTGTGTAAGTTATTTTGCTTAAGTATAGCTGGACCATTCCATGCCAAACGTCCCAGCCACTTTGACGACCATCTGAATTGTATTTGAAAAAAAAATGTGCTGACTTACTGCGTTGAAAACAGTGAACTGGTAGAATACTTCAGCGAGAAAAAAAGTTTTACTCATGTGGCTGGCTTATAACTTCCTGGCATAATGCCGTCTGTGTGCTGTTTGTGGAAAATTTTGTTTTAAAACCACCACTTATTTTTTCTAAAGCAAATTCGGTCTACCTGTTAAGTAAATGTGCTTCTGTAAGGTATTTGAAGCTCAATAATAATAGTGCAATTTTTTGCCACATTTGCTTCCAAGAATAAAGCCAAAATGTGTTATGTTTGCATTTTTATTGCAATATTGCACTTTGTATGAATATCTGAGCAGTGAATACTTACTCCACAGAAGGTACATTCTGAGGAAAAAATATCTATATACCTCTCAAGCTGCTGTAATATACGAGAAAATATCACGAATTTCACAAAATCGTGATTTTTGTCCATATTGAGATGCAATTTGCTCCATGTTGTGATACAATGAAAACTCATCATAATACCTAAACTGTAAGAAAATGAAACGTGTGACCATGACAAAATAATTTTACCGAGAAAAGAATACTCTTTTTCGGAAAAGATAAGTGAAGGTGTAGTGATGCATTGATCCTTGGCCTTCCTGATAAAGAGTTCTAAAATCTCTCATTTTTCTGCTTGCTTTTTTTTTCAAAAACCGTGTTTTATGAAACCTAGGACTACACTTACATTCTTTACGGTGTCCGGCCATGAGACTACTATAGCCCTTCTTATCATTTGAAGCATGCTGTCTTGCTTGATCATTGAAGTATTGCCCAGTTTGTCCTATGTTTACTTTTCCACGTGTTAGCGGTATCTCATACACATTAGATTGGCATTCAGTAAACCTATTCTAGTGACGAATGGTGCAAGATTGACTATTCCTGTTGCTGTAAGTACATGCACTTTTGAAAGCTTGCAAGGGGTGGAAAACAACAATGTCATATCTGCTGGCTCTTTTCCTAAAATTGTGAGACACCTTATGTACGTAGTACCATGTGACATGCAAAGGTGATTGGTCATTCTCTTTTTCTTTTGGTCCTGTTTCCTTTAGCTTTACTTTCTGCAGGAGGGTTTCGCAAACAATTGTGATGATGCTGTTAGGGTATTGGCTGGTGCTATCAGCCCAGGAGTGCTAAGAATGTTCTGCCTTTTGATAGTGGGCATTCAAAATTAGTAGAAAGAGGAATTGATACCACATGTATTCAGGCCACCCTTCAGAAGTCGTGTTAACACAAGGTGAGGTCAGGCTTAAAAACCAGATTAAAAGACTAAAAGATGCTGGGTATCCCAACAGAATCTTCACACCCGTTTGCAAAACCCTCCTGCAGAAAGTATAGTTAAAGAAGACAGGACCAACAAAAAACAATGACCAAAACCTTTGCATGTTATACCACATCACGTGTCTCACAACCAGAAAAATAGCCAGCAGATATGATATTAGCGTGTTGTTTTTCACCCCTTGCAAGCTTTCAAAAGTGTGTGTACTAAACAGCAACAGGAATAGTCAATCTTGCCCCATTCGTCACGAGAATAGGTTTACTTAATGCCAATTTAACGTTTGTAGAAATATTTTTTATCAGGTAAACCAATGATCAGTGCATCACTACACGTTCACTTATCCTTTCTGAGAGGGAGTATTATTTTCACAGTTAAAATTATTTTGTAGTGCTCACACGTGTCGTCGCGCATGAACACGGTTCTTGTACTCCGTATAAAAGCGCTCGTAGCACAATCATTAAATTCAGTTGACAGTCTGTGCTCTTTCCTGTCCTTTCTGTCTCTTCCTAAAGTTGTCGCGCTGTGACTAGCACACAACCACGATGAACCAACTCTCCCAAATTAAGCTCTTGTTACGTAACACGTAGACCGAGTTTCGTATGGAAAGAAGGAGCGGTGCTTTTAAAATAAAATTTTTCACATACAACACCTAGACGGCATTCCAGAAAGTTCAGAAGGCAGCCACGTGACCAAATATTTTTCCTCTCCTAAATATTCCAGAAGTTCACTATTTTCAATGCAGCACGAGTTTTCCGAATACATTTGAGATGGTTGCCAAAATGGCCGGGACATTTGGCATAAAGTGACCCAGCTGTGTCATAAGCCATAATTATGCATTACCTCTTTTGCTTTTTGTGTGTCCTGACTCAGTTTTGTGTTCGTTTTTAGCATATTGTGTTTCTGATCATTGTATTGGTTTCTTAAGTATTCGCTAAAGTTATATGTGCGAAAACCCGTATATGTTTGCATGTACATCATTTCTCATAACCAATTGTTATACATCCAGGAATACAAAGCTTAAACCACTGTGATTGTATACATTTGAAAAACACTATCCATATATATTTTTTGAGTGCATCACTTCTTGGGAACGATTGTGTACATGAAGGCGTATATAGTGAAATCATGGTGATTGTATATATTTGAAAGAATCGTAAGTATATATTTGCCTGTATTTCATTCCTATTAACCGATTGTGTACATGAAGGAGTATTAAACTGGAAACCACTGGGATTGTAGATACTTGAAAGAATTATAGGGATATATTAGCATGTACTTCATTTGTTGTCTCTATGTACTTGAAGCAGTATACTAAACTGAAACTAGTGTAATTGTATGTTGCGAAAAATTGTCAATAAAATGAAACTGAAAAAATATAATAAACATTTGAGGTGTTGCATGTGTAGTGTACGTATACATGAACGTATATCTGGTGAATAAGTTGTGTGGCAGAAGAAAAGTTTGTTTTATTTGCCTATAAATAAACGCAATATGCAAGGGCAGCAAGGCTTCATTTTCTGTAACGCGCATTATGCATATACACTGAAGTATATATAGATCCAGCACAAGTTCATACACGATTGTACGCGTTTATATTTTTGCCCACACGCAATGAATGGAGCTCGACAGGTGGTGCACCATCGATAATCAGGACCACTTTCTTCAAGTAGTGTTTAATCAGTGCATGCTGATATCTATTGGTGACAGTATTCGCCACCCCTGCCATGGGCACTCAACACCCTTGTGCACCCTTCTCGCACCCTCCTCAGAGGGTGCTAAAAAAGTGATGGACATCGAAGGCACCCTTTCATAAGGGTGTTTTTTAACACCCTACAGTTTTTTTACATGTACACCCTATTATAAGGGTGCATGGTAAAGCACCCTTTTTGGAAGGTGCTGAAATAACACCCTTAGGGTGTCGTCCACGGGACAAGCTCATTTACACCCTTCTGGGTGTAAAATTTTTACTGTGCACAAGTGATTGGCACTTAATCTCTACCCAGCAACGATGAGAACACACATGGGTACTTTCAACGCGTGCGCGTTAAGCAATACCCGACATCGGTAGCGTCGATTCAACGAAGGCATACAATAAATGTCAGTGTTAAGAAAAACCTGACATTGGCAGCATTGACCCCCCGACGAACGCAAATAATAAATTTCAGGATCCCAGCAGGAATCAAACCCAAGCAGTCTGCGTGGCAGTCAAGCATTCTAGTATAGAGCTACGCCAGGTCTCGGAACTACTTTTGAAATAGACGCTAATCTTCTCGAAACATGAATAGTGGTTGCAGTGCTGCCTAACGAATTTTATGCGCTCCTTTTATAGAGCTGTCACGTCGGGTTGACGTCAATTGTGGTTAGGTGTCATGCGCTGAAGTTGATTTATGTAGCAGTGTCCAGGGTCAGCATCTTTACGAGCATCAGCGCTTCATATCAGCTTCTGGTGTTGCTAATACGCATATTCATGTTGACATCAATGCGCAAGTTCAAATAACTGGTTATATACGCGTCTGCAACTCTTCAACATAAATCTGTGCGTGCAACATTTGTACCTATATTTAGCGTCATTTCATGACATGTCGCTCAATAAAAAGAAAAATATAAACATGGTCACCTTCCCTCCGCAAGCTTCGCATAACGCCGATTCCTAGGTACGTGGGATCTGCCACATTTTTTTGTGGTACGTACTTTAACCCGCAGCTGTTTCATAATGGGGTTCTCTCGGCCCTAATAGACCACCTGTCGTAAAGTAGAAAGTATTGCGCCGGCTGCTGCATGTGGACCCGTCCTCGCTCTTTTATCTGCAGGATGGGAGGTGTTCCGTGCGCATAAACCCAGCAGTCATTACTGTCCTCCCAGCGAATTTTACTGAACTTGGTCATACTTAATGGCAGTTTTTTTACCTCATTATGCGTGTCTCTTTCATATAGCTGGGATGATACAAACCTCAACGAGGCCTCCGTAGAGTGTTCTCTTGGCTGGAGGAGCGACGTCAGTGACGTAAAGGCAGACGCAGTTGGTCATGACGCCCACGCAAATGCCGATGGCCACACGGCTGACGACTATCATGCTGACCCTGTTCGCCAGCATCAAGGACACCCAGAAGCTAGTTAGGCCACCCGAACTCAGCAGCAGGGTCCTTCGGTGGCCCGCAAGGTGCAGCAGAATTCCTTCATTGCCAACAAGCATAAACAAACCAACGTGAAAAATACATATTCCCGCCACAAATCACTGAATGCATGATGCGCAATACACAACAGGGAGAATTTTACGAGAATAGCTTGTAGGCTTCATGCGTTTCTCGAAAAAAAAAGTCAGCGAGAAAACATATATACGTAATCGGCAATGTTCATGCGTGCAGAATTCAATGTGTTGAAGACATGTCAACAACCACGGCAGAGCGCTTTGTCGCACCCATCGCAGCAAGCATAGAATTTTGAATACTGCAGAACGACACATATGCTTTCGCGTGTTGAAGATCATAGACGAATGTTGGTTTCACAGTTATAATTGGCAAAAAATCACCTCACTACTGCACGACCCAACGTGACTCTCGACATGACATCGTGGGCATGCAGCCTTGCGAGAGCACACATACGAACGCTATAAAATGCGTGTGGTACCGCAACACCTGGCGTCATAACAACTGATTCTCTAAATTAGGGGTCTCAATCACGTGACCCATGGGCCGCATGCGGCTCACGACACCTCCCAGCAGTCAGGCCTGCACATCACTTCGTGCCATATATCTTTAAAAGATTTTGTTAGAAAGCATCTAGGTGAGCTCCACAGATATAATAGCCATCAGTATTATCTTTTACAAACAATCCTATGTAGCTCCTATGAGTTAAGACACAACCGAAAAAAAAGAAACTGTATATTCAGAATTGACATCTGCAGATTAGCGTTGCTATTTGCCCCGAAGAGTGCAAGGTCCAAGTTATCTTCAGAAATGATTAAACTAAACACTTCAACCATGAAAGTCTTCATGGTCTCGGCATTCACAGGAGAGTAAGGGTCCTGACGAACTTACTTGCGGATATGAGTTCAGAGGCACACACCGCCAAGCGTAGAATAGAACACAGAGAGAGTAGAGCAAAACAATACTATTTATTTGCCCTGTAGATAGCCCATACGTGGAGGCGGAAATGTTGTAGGCCCGTGTGCTCAGATTTGGGCGCACGTTAAAGAACCCCAGGTGGTCGAAATTTCCGGAGCCCTCCACTACGGCGTCTCTCATAATCATAAGGTGGTTTTGGGACGTTGAACCCCACATATCAATCAATCAGCCCATACGTGGATACCAAAGGTTCATCGGGGAGCCCTGCACAATAACCATTAGGGCCCCTTAAACTTCAGCTGTGCACTGCCATCACGCGCAGCATGAGAATATGTTGCAACGACTATCTGGAAAACCGTTATCACGATGGCATCACTGCTATGCCTATATACCAGACATGATATCTACAACTGAAACTCGCGTACCGGAGACAAGAGCGCCAACGGTGGCACCCAGGAAGAGGCTGTCGGGGATCCAGCGATTTTCGGGTGGGCTGGACGGTGCGTCGCGCCAGAAGCGGCGCTCGATGGAGGGCATGGCGGCCGAGGCGTTGCCGAGAGCCATACCGGCGGCCAACGTGCCTGAGAGAGCCATCAGCATGGCACGCACATGGTGACCACAGGGCCTGAAGCTGTCCATTTGGCTAAACGGTGTAGCACCTTTTACCGGATGCTTCAGCTTCTGCAGCGCTTGCATGGCCGTGTTGAACGGTGGCGACGACAGTGCATCCATGGAATGACTCATCAGCGTCGACCCCTGTGCGTGCTGCCGTGGTGCCAGGGATGTGTGTCTCGTCTTCGACGGCCTGCAATTAATGAAAAAAAAACGTGGCTCATCCTTCTTTCTGGGAATCGGTACAATGCGAAAGTGAAACGTGTTCTCGTAGAGGTATTCGAGCGTCTATTCTGCATTGTTTCACCCCAAGGGCGAAAAAGGTATGTTACAGGAACGAAATGCATTATGTCACAGGAAGAACGGCAAAAAGACCTAAACTTGTAGTGCCCACCCGAAGCATAAAGCACGCACAAAATGAGCGTAGACAGGATGAGCGTGGACAAACAACTGTCAAAGCTAGACACTTGAAGCGCGCTGGCCAAACTGGAAGACGCATGAAATGAGCGCACAGGTATGCACAGGACGAGTGCGAACTGTCACAATACATACTTTTTCGCCTATGAGCAGCATGCTCCTTTCGTAACGCGGCCGCGGCAACGAGCGAAGTGACGTTCCTGTTCTCTTTAGCTACTGTAAATTCAGAAGTAAACTTGCAAGGTATAGAGTGCCCGAATCTAGAGATATGCACGCGCGTGAGTGAGCCTTCATGCCAGAGAACTTCTATACGCACTTTGACTATGCCTTGTGGAGGCGCGTGCTCATAGCGACCAGTCGTGCAATCTTGCAACTGATAATGAAAAGGCACTGTGTTTGTTGAGATCAAAGGATTTCGAGTGGTAAATTGCGTATATAAATGGCTCGCCATTATTAAGTTCGAAAAGGATCGTTGGTTAGCGTCGTGCGCTGAGGAGCACGAGGTCACTAGTTGGGCGCCCCGCGTTGCGAGATACGCCTTCTCATTTGTTTCTTTCCGTTCTGCAAATAATATTTACAACGTCACATTCGTGACAGAAATACGTCAGCGGAGCCGTGGTTGACCCCCGCATAAAACACCTTCATGTATAAGAACTTATCTGTTGTGTCGTTTTCTTCAAATCTACGCTGACAAAATATTATTCCAAAATTGTGGGTGTGCTAACTTCCTTGTCACTACTCTAATTACGCCAGCAGGAAAAAGTAAAGGACTTAGCATTGATTGCACGGGCGAGGAAGGCACTGGCCTTTCAAACTACATATGTCTGAAAGGCTGAGCTCGCCTCCCTTTCCTTTGTTCTGAGATCGGTCACTTTGAGGGGCACCCTAGCAAACAAATAACTGCCACTGTTGAATAAAACAGGTCACTGACCAATGTCAAACGAAACAAGACGTTTCGGGACCCGTACGGGTCCCTTGTTCACAATGGAATGACGGCTGAGCAACAGGTTCTTATGTAACGTTGAGCGCATGACGCAAAGTCCGGGAGTACACGTGGTTTAGTGTGCCAGATGATCTATTGATTGTGTTACTTGCCGTCTGAATGATTAGTGATTCGAGGTTCAGTCTGGTTGTAAAATTCTTCTCCGTGGCCAAGATGCGTGCGTTGTCCCAGCTTATCCCGTGGCCCGTCTTCTCGGCATGCTCTGCGAGTGCATTTGTTACTGTGTGGCCCTTGGCGACGTCATTCTTGTGTTGCATCAGACGTCTGCAGTAATTTCCACTCGTGCCAATGTACACTGATTCGCATTCGGCGCATGGTATCTTGCAGATCACACCAGGAAAGTGTTGCCGAAGGAGAGGATCCTTCACGTTTAGCAACTCAGCTTTGAGCTTGCTTGCTGGAACATGCGCGATCTGTACACCAAGTTTTCTGAATAGACGGGCTAGGGCTTCGCTTATATTTCGAATACAAGGAATCGATGCACGCTTTGGCGTAGACGATGTGTTATGCATGGCTTGACTAGTTGACTGCCGTTTATGCATGACGGATTTAGTTGTTTTCGTAATAAAAATCTTGGGGTATCCATTCCTGATCAGGTCATCTTCAATGGTCCGGAGCTCCTCCTGCAGGCTTCCTTCATCGGAACAAGTGCGAATCGCTCGTTGAACTAAAGACCGAATCACTGAGCGTTTGTGGGCTACCGGGTGGACTGACTCATAATCGAGGTATCTACTGGAGTGTGTTGGCTTCCGGTACACGGCGAAGGCGAGGCCTGTGGGAGTACGTTTTACAACTGTATCCAAGAAAGGGAGGCAACCGTCTTTTTCTTCTTCCACAGTAAACTTGATGGAACTCTCGACGCCATTTAGGCAGTCAAGGAAAGCCTGGACGTCTTTTTTTCTTTATCACGCAGAAGCAGTCGTCGACGTATCTCAGAAAAACCTTGGGTCTCGGCTGAAATGTTCCCGATGCTTTCTGCTCAATTCCTTCCACTGTGATATTCGCAGTTGTGACTGAAATCGACGCTCCCATTGCGGTACCGAAATCTTGCCTGTAGAATTCACCCTTGTACGAGAAGTAAGTGTTGGATAGGCAAAACCGTAACAAGGTGCACAGCTCGGTGACGTCGAACGGTGTGCGATCGGCCAATGTCGTGTCCTTGTGAAGCAATTGTCTGGAAGTGTTTACAGCAAGGTCGACGGGAACACTTGTGAAGAGGGAGCAGAAATCAAATGAAACCAGTATTTCGTTGACATCCACAGTGATACTCTTCATTTTGCTTATGAAGTCAATGGTGTTCCGAAGGTTAGTTTCAGTCTTGCTTGCAAGGGGAGCCAGGATGCCGTGAAGATACTTTGAGAGGCTGTACAGGGGTGACCCAGTGAAATCTACTATGGGTCTTAGAGGCGTTCCGCTTTTGTGAATCTTCGGTAAACCGTATATCGCTGGAGCAGAACCATTGGTGCACAGCAGCTGGAAGTATAACCTTTTTGCTGATGCAGGAAGCACCTAAAAAATACTAGAGAGCGTCTTTTGCAGGCCAGTTTGGACTTTCGAGGTAGGATCCTTGTTAATCTTGGCGTACGTTGTACAGTCCCCCACTATCTCCGTCATCTTCGACTCATACGTCGACCGGTCAAGCACAACCGTCACGTCGCCTTTGTCCGCAGGAAGTACGGCAATCTTCTTGTTTTTGTGCGATGCCTTAATCGCTTTTTTCTCGTCTTCCGAGAGGACTTGCTGGCAGCCAGACTTGCGAATCCTCGATAGTATACCTACTGCTCTCGTACGGACTTCGTCTTCATCGCTTTCTCCAAGTAGACCAATAGCGTTTTCGACAGCACACACGACCTTGCTTGTGTCCGGCTGCTTTGCTTGGTTGAAGTTGAGACCACGGCTCAAAACTTGGCATTCCGCAGGAGTTAGCACATAAGTTCCTAACTTCGAACATGGGTCCTCTGGTTTTCCTGCCTTTTTTTAGCAAAGCACTCAGTTTGCGCTCTTGTGACGTTTCCAGCTTTTCTGTTCGTCATCGCGATGCTTGGTTCGCTACGAGATGTATTTCAGGGAGTGATTCAGGCATGATGAATTCCAGCTGGCGTGTTGTGAAGAAAATGTCAGTCTGAAGGCGCTTCACAGTCTGCTTGCAGTCTTCTATCCGTGCTTGAAGAAGCTGCCGTTCAGCTTTCGAAATGACTTGATGACCGAATGCCGATTTCACGGGGTGCTTTAACTGCAAACATTTTGGGATGAGTTGCTTGGACATACAGGATACGTTGAAGCGCAGGTGCGTCTTGAAGGCTGCCAGTCGTGTAGATGCACGCAAGAACTGACGAATCCTGGTGATAGCCGATTGTCCATACTTGTGGCGGATGCTCACGTAGTCGAGAGTTCGACGAAATGCCGTCTAGTCAGGTAAAGGCATTGTTGAATAAAACAGGTCACTGACCAATGTCAAACAAAACAAGACGTTTCGGGACCCGTACGAGTCCCTTGTTCACAATGGAATGACGGCTGAGCAACTGGTTCTTATGTAACGTTGAGCGCATGACGCAAAGTCCGGGAGTACACGTGGTGTAGTGTGCCAGATGATCTATTGATTGTGTTACCTGCCGTCTGAATGATTAGTGATTCGAGGTTCAGTCTGGTTGTAAAATTCTTCTCCGTGGCCAAGATGCGTGCGTTGTCCCAGCTTATCTCGTGGCCCGTCTTCTCGGCATGCTCTGCGAGTGCATTTGTTACTGTGTGGCCCTTGGCGACGTCATTCTTGTGTTGCATCAGACTTCTGCAGTAATTTCCACTCGTGCCAATGTACACTGATTCGCATTCGGCACATGGTATCTTGTAGATCACACCAGGAAAGTGTTGCCGAGGGAGAGGATCCTTCACGTTTAGCAACTCAGCCTTGAGCTTGCTTGCTGGAACATGCGCGATCTGTACACCACGTTTTCTGTATAGACGGGCTAGGGCTTCGCTTACATTTCGAATACAAGGAATCGATGCACGCTTTGGCGTAGACGATGCTTTATGCATGGCTTGACTAGTTGACTGCAGTTTAAGCATGGCGGATTTAGTTGTTTTCCTAATAAAAATCTTGGGGTATCCATTCTTGATCAGGTCATCTTCAATGGTCCGGAGCTCCTCCTGCAGGCTTCCTTCATCGGAACAAGTGCGATTCGCTCGTTGAACTAAAGACCGAATCACTGAGCGTTTGTGGGCTACCGGGTGGACTGACTCATAGTCGAGGTATCTACCGGAGTGCGTTGGCTTTCGGTACACAGCGAAGGCGAGGCCTGTGGGAGTACGTTTTACAACTGTATCCAAGAAAGGGAGGCAACCGTCTTTTCCTTCTTCCACAGTAAACTTGATGGAACTCTCGACGTCATTTAGGCAGTCAAGGAAAGCCTGGACGTCTTTCTTCTTTATCACGCAGAAGCAGTCGTCGACGTATCTCAGAAAAACCTTGCGTCTCGGCTGAAATGTTCCCAAAGCTTTCTGCTCAATCGCTTCCATTGTGATATTCGCAGTTGTGACCGAAATCGACGCTCCCATTGCGGTAACAAAAACTTGCCTGTAGAATTCACCTTTGTACGAGAAGTAAGTGTTGGATAGGCAAAACCGTAAAAAGGTGCATAAGTTTTGAGCCGTGGTCTCAACTTCAACCAAGCGAAGCAGCCGGACACACGCAAGGTCGTGTGTG